CTCCTTCGGATCTCTGTCTCCGGCTGGACTCCGGTACTTGGGGGATGTCTCTGCACGGCCTTCAGTCTACTTCTGCCAGGCACCGCCTGGCGTAGGGATGGGCTGCTTTGCTGCCTCAGGATGGTGTTTTGTGGGAGGCCAGGGCCCAAGGCTGCCCTGGGCCTCATCTCTGTCACCGGGTGGGAGCACCGGCCCTGCCATGGTGCCCGGGGGCCTTTGGGGACCCCAGAATATATCCTCAAAATGTCTTGTACGCATACCCCCTCCTCAGGCAGAAGAACTCAGACTCAGATCGGTGTGGCTCGCGGCGGTCCGTGGTGAATGAAGCGCAGTGCAGGCTCAGAACGTCAGGTGATGGGGCTGGCGGCTGAGCATCCTGGAGCGCGTTTGTTGGAGGGCGGGAAGCTCATTTTTAATGTTGGAGCGCGGGAAACCCATTTTAATGAGTATCAAACATGCAGTGCACTTTTTTCACGTGATGGATTCTTTCAGTGTCACTGCTTGGAATCTGGTTTACTTTTCCCCAAATATGATACACATTCTTGGTTTCTCAGCTTAGAGAGCATGTGGCCTTCAGTCCTCAGAAAACTCTGTCCTAGATGATAGTGTCGTAGGCCTCTCTTTCCCCCCCTCCTCTTTCCATCTTTCTGTCCGTGGGCAGCTGGCAGTGGAAGTACCTGCCTAGGATGGGGATGAGGCCCGGGTCAGGGCCGGGTGCCGTGCAGCCTCAGTGGCTCCGATGGGCCTGGCACGGAGCCAGTCGGAGTCCGTTGGGTGCTCGCGGGGATGCAGTGGGCTCTCTCGGGCACAGTCCTGACCAGGAGCAGAGGTGACTCCCATCTCCCGGGCAGGATGCATGTGGTTTTCTGCCGTCCTGGGGAGCACATGACGCCTGGGAAGCAGTGGCTGGGAGGTGATTCACCGGGGGGAGCAGGGCCTAGAAAACAATGTCTGTCTTGAAGCTCCGGGAACCAGCAAAATGAGCTGGAAATGTGAGTAATGTATAATTTTACTAAAATTAACCAGCCAGTCCTCTGGGCCTTTTCTCGCTGTTTTCAGCGTCTTTGTCTGACCCGTAGTGCCCACTGTGCCGTGTTCCATGGACCATCTTTCCAGTTAGTGCGCCTGGAAGTCCCCTTCTCCCCGCTGCCCTGCGTAGGGTAGGCGCGCAGTGGGGCTATGGGAGCACAGATGGTGGATTTAGGTGCGGGGCTGCCCTGTCCTTACCTCTGCCCTGGCACCTGGCGGCCCTGGCATCCCTCTCCTCTGTGATGTGGTCTCCAAGTCATGCTTGGATTTCCTGAGGCGCCGCTGAGTCTTCCATGTGACTGTGCCGTGCCCCTAGGACATAAGGTGCGAGGGGTGGGCAATGCCTTATGTGCCCCGACCTTGGCTTTGGACATGGGCAGACGTGGCCTGAGCTTTAGGCTGCTCCTCCTTGCCACCCGGGGGTGTCTTTATCCTTGGACTTCTGTCTTTATCCTCGGACCTCGCCTGGAGCCAGAGCCGTCACTTGGGAGCTGCAGCCCCACCGGGGCCTTTCTGTCCCTGCTAGATTGTAAGCCCGTGAGAAGGCAGGGCTGTGGCTTCCTTTCTGTAACCTCCGCAGAACAGAGACTCAGCTAGCACTGGCTGAGTGAACGGAAGTCTAAATTCAGAGGCACACCATGTCTGAGGCGCTCCTGAATCCGCGATATGAGCCCCCAGGTCTGTGCACTTCGTGAAGTGGCCCGTGGAAGTATCAGTGAGGAGGAGAGAAGCCATTCACTCATGTCGTTAACAATGAAATTGTGTCTTTATCTGAATTTGGAAGGGAGCGGGACACTGAAGATGAGGATGTGCGGTGACACGGATGAATTGAGTATTCGGGAACCAAGCCCTGTTTAGGGTAGAAGCCAGCGGATCTCAGGCCTGCTTGGCTTGATGTCTGTTCCGTGGAAGATCCTCTGGTGATGTCAGTGTCTGGGATCGTAACCCTTGAGGCATTCATTGCAGAAACCTGTGCTGTCTTCTGAACTGCCGCGGACAGCGACATCATGGACAGGCTGGGTTCAGTATTAAAGCTTTTAGTATTTTAATGTTTTGAAAATCGCCAGGATGTGTGTGGCGTTGATGGAACCTACTGTCTAGGCTCTGGCCAGAACATTCTCTTCCATGGTTGTCTTAATGGGCTGAACGTTTATTCCTTCATTGCTTTTAAGACATTCTGTATCATCAGCCAGAGAATAAAAGGAAAGAAAAAAACCCATAAACGAATACTGGGTCTTGTACAGCTAATCACCCTATAATCAATACACTCGGTTCAGGGCTGACAGGGTTCTCTTGGCGCTCACTGAGGGCTGCAGTGCGCCGCTGTGATTGTTTTGGTTTAGGGCTGACTGGGTCCTCTTGGCACTCCCTGATTTTGGTTTGTGTGCTGTTTGTCCCCCGTTTAGAGTCCTCTGGGTGGGTCTTACTATGACCACATGGTTACATGGAGACGCCGAGGCTCGGAACGCCTCGGGGCACTGAGTGGCAAGCCGAGCACGTGCCCCTGCTAGAGATGGCACAGAATGACGTCACAACATCACAGCCGAGGCTGCACTCAGGCCCCCTCTGGTGCTTCTCCTGCTCAGCCCTTAACAGCTCACTGATTGGGCTGCAGAGTCCGTCTGAAGGCTTGAACGCACCTCCAGTAGACTCCTCAGCCCTCTAGCTCTCCATGATTCTGCCCATCCACAGTTCCACTCCACGATACCTGCCTTTCTTACCCAGTCACCCATGCACTGTTTCTCTTCATTGACTTGTTAAGTCTCTCTCTGTGCGCCCATGCTAGCAAGGGTAATGAGATAGGAGGGGCGAGGTAATGTGAGGAGGGGCAGGTGCATAGATGAAGAGATCATTGACGGTGGGTGATGGGTTCTATATTAAAGGTTTGCACGGGGCACTTTGGGATTTTACGCTACAGCTGTGGTTGGCAGTGCAGGACAGGGGGAGGAGGGAGGCTAGAGCGGCACCGCCTGTACACAGCCACAGAGGCAGAGTGGCTGCGTCTTATTTGAGGAATGGCAAGTAGACGGTTGAAACTACGGAGCACAACATTTGGAGGCTTGGAGCCAGAGATGAGGATGGGAAGGTGGTCAGGCCCAGAGGCTACCAAGGCCCGTGCTGAGCTGCTAAAAACATTAACTAAGGGCTGGATGTGGTTGGATTTGCTTTATAAAGAGATTGCTCTGGGATGGATACAGGCAAAACAGGAAATCTGAATAAGGTTGGTAGTTGTCTTATCCTGGTTGTGATATTGTATTGTACTTTTACAAGATGCCACCATCCGGGGAGTCAGGGTACAGGGTGCATGTGATGGCTCTGTGTTCTTACAACTGAAGTTAATCTACAGTTTCAGAAAGGTATGCCTGTCACATGCATGTGTGTGTGGTGCGTGCATGTGTGTGTGTAACTGTGTGCGTTTATGTAACATTCAGTGTGTGCGTGCATGTGTGTAACGTATTCAGTGTGTAACATTCTGTGTGCATGCGTAACATTGTGTGTAACATTCAGTGTGTGTGTGTGTAACATCTTCAGTGTGTGTGTGTAACATACTCAGCCAGTCCAGAATGGGGGCTGTGGCTGCTGCTTCACCAGGGCAGGCCCAGGCTTTTCTGCTAGTTAAGACAGGTGACTACTTGCAGACTCTGAAAATAATTTGTATTTCTTAAAGAAAATTCACTCAAATCATGATTCATCACATTTTTCTTTAAAAGACCAGCTCATTAGTTATGGAAAAAGATTACTCTGTCAGCGGAGAATGTGGTGGATTCAAGAGGCAAGACCCAAGGCAGATGCCACTGTGGGACCCCTGGAATAAAGTGTGGAGGGTGGACTGGGGCTGGCCGCGCCTTACCTGTGTGGGGCCAGTGCCTGATAGATGCGACATGTAACACTGCCTTCGGACTAATACATCGGATGGAGGCGGCGCTGACTGTCTCACCTGGATTCCACGTGGCATCACCTGAGAGCTCAGCACATGGCCAGGGCTAGTGATGGACCTTCTGGACGCAGGTCACTCTTGCTCGTGTGTCCTGGATGAGCGAGCTGCGCGCTGGCTCCCTGCGGCGTCCCGGGAGCACCAGAGCAGACGTCACCACGTGTCAGCCAGGAGCCTGAGCTGATGATTCCACCACTCTGAGTCTCGGGGTTCTCGTCTGGACAGGGGGTGGTGGAGGCATTGCCTGCTTGGTGCTGTTAGGAAGATGGGCTGAGCAGTACTGTGGAGGCTTAGACCAGGCCCGGCATGTAGGACACAGCCGGTGACTGGATCATTGTCAGTGTCCCCGTCCTGTCCACGTGGCAGGTCCTTATCAAACCAGCTTGGCCTCCAGCTCCCCAGGCTCCGAGGGGGTGGAGATTATTGTAGAAGTGAACAGAGAGTCGGGCAGAGGACGCCGCTGGGTCGGGGGCTCCATCTTCTATGGAGCTGACTTTGGACTCCGCTGGCAGCAGCCTCCCCGGCACCCAGGGGCTTTGTAGCCCACTACCCGGGCTGGTAGCCGGCTCCTCCTCATGCTGCCCAGCCACACGACCTGAGCTTCAGGGTAAAAAATTAAATAAGCAACACGGAGTGCCTGGCACACAGTCACTGTCCCCTTTGCCTTTCAGAAAATGCCAGGGATTCCCCTCTGAACGCTCACTCCTCTTTTTCAGGAACAAGACTGCCAATGGCGACTGCCGCAAAGACCCCCGGGAGCGGAGCCGCAGCCCCATCGAACGCGCCGTGGCCCCCACCATGAGCCTGCACGGCAGCCACCTGTACACGTCCCTCCCCAGCCTCGGCCTGGAGCAGCCCCTCGCACTGACCAAGAACAGCCTGGACGCCAGCAGGCCGGCCGGCCTCTCGCCCACACTGACCCCGGGGGAGCGGCAGCAGGTGGGCCTCTGTCTGGGAGGGTGGCAGGGGGAATCCGGGGGCTGGGGGACTGAGCTGGATGGAGAGCCCCGGGCAGAGGACCCCGAGGGCGGTGGTGAGGGAGGGAGGTGGTAAGGGATGCCACCCTTCGCCTCCGTTCTGCACTTGGGACAAGGGACAGCAGAACAGGAGTCCTCTTCTGCTTTTACTTCCTGCCCAGACCTGCCCGGACCTCGCATCTTAGCACTCGTGGCCTTGGGCAAGGTGCATGTCACTGGGGCTTCATCTCTCTTCTGCCACGGTACAGGGTGTTGTACTGACGTTTTCTTCAGCAGTCTTCTGTGGCAGGCCTGATTCTCTTAGGATCAATGTCGTCATCCTCAGGGGGGCCCTCCGTTTCTCCTTGAGAAGGTCACACAGATGAAGGGAAATGTCAGGCTGCTTTACCTTGGGCTGGGGTCCTGGACAGTTGATGGCCGCAGGGTTGTGAGCCCATGCTGGTCAGAAGCCTATGATGGGTACGTAGGGAGTTTTTTCTATTAAAGGAATATAGGAAATTAAATGATTACATAATAAACACTGTTTGCTTGGTAGAAACAAATCTTTTTAAAAACGGGGTTCCTGGGGAAGTGTGTGGGGGAAGGCAGCAGCATTGAGGAGGCTTGGAATCGCTGCTGGAGCTCACTGAACCTCCGGGCACTGCGACCTAACAGCTCCTTAGTCACTAGTCAGCATTTGCTAAGACTGACAGAGAGGAGGGTGCTGTGCCCCGAGGGGAGCCTCCAGGCTCCGTGCATTCAACTGCGAGAGCCTCCGTGTCCTTGCGGCACCCCCGGGGCTTCCCTCAAGCAGCACTGCCTGGTGTCCGTCTCTGATGGGGTCTGTTGGAACTGCGGGTTGGGGAGGCCCTGGGAGTTGGGAGAGGTGGTTCTGGTGCTTGGGAATCCCGGTGAAGCTGAGAACAGTTGCCCATCTTGCCTTGGAGTCTGACATTGTAATCCTGTTTGTTTGATTCATTCATTTAACAAAATGGCATAGACCCCTATTGTGTGCCGGCGGGTGCCAGAAGCCAGTCCAGCAAGATGCAGTCGTCGTTCTCAGCACACTCAGCTTTCGTCTGGAGGAGAGAGCGCTGATGTGTCTGATGGAACCTGGGGCCAGGTTATCACTGCTGTTCATGTCAGCGTTTTACTAGTGCTCACCATTTACCCAGCCCTCTGCAGAGCGGAGCTCTGGGCAGCCAGAGGTGGTTGTGTGGACACTGTCATGGCCACAGGGAGCTCCCAGTCTAGTTGGGGAAATGGATGTGAGGAGAAGAGTGTGCGCCTGGGCAGCAGCAGAGGCGTGTGGGCAGTGCGACCCACAGGGACCCGCTCCCTGCCTCCGGGGGTGGGCAGTGGACCTTTCTGCTTTGTGAAGCTCAGCAGGCATTGTAATGATGCCACGAGCCATGGCCTGAACTGTGCAGGTGGAACCTGGCTCTCTGGCCATTGCCACGGCTGTTGGGGAGTCCCTGAAGGACAGGGGAATGGAGGGGAGGATTCAGCTGTAATCTCAGAGCACCCACGTCCAGCCTTTGGCCCTTGGTGACCTGGGGGATGTAACTGTGAGCCTCGCGGGCTGTCTCTGCCCGCAGGGTCAGGGTGGGCCCTTGACGGGCTTAGTGTTTTCTTAGATGATGATTTCCTTGACTCTCCAAGGCTCTTGAGAATCTTGCAGTTGGTTTCGGTCACAGTTGCTTGGCAAAAACGGAACTGCTGAACAGAGTGGCCTGATTTCTTTAGCCTGTCTCCCTCTCTCCAACCTGGAACGGGCCTTGCTGCCCGTTCATGTGGCGAGGGCCCCTCCTCGTGCCTTGGGGCTCCTGAGCAGCTTTCCTAGAAGGGAGAACCTCAGCTCCCCAGCTGTGTCCTTACAGGATCCAGGCTTGGAGCAAGGACAAAGCCAGGGACCATGGGGCACCCCAAGCTGCCCATTTTCCTGGGAAGGGCACAGTGGCCCGACCGGAGCTGTCACTTTAGGCTGGGCTTGGTGGGGAATAGGGGGTCAATCCTGCCCTCCTTGCCGTGGCTGCTGTCAGCACATGTCATTCACGTCGTAGCCATTCGTGGGGCTCCTTCCTGCGGCAGCGTGGCGGGGCCGAGGCCACGCACTGGAACCTCAGCTGGGCTCCAGCGCCCTGCTGAGGAGACCAAGCAGCCACGTTGCCTGTGCTCCAGCGGCTCTGAGGCCCCTTCCCGGGAGTCTGTTGGGTGTCATCCTGTAGCTCAGAGCCAGGCGAATGGTGGTGGGGAGGGGGCTTCCTGGGGTGACAGCAAAGCTCTGTGTCCACAGGTGGGCAGAATGCATGCTGCAGCCCTGTGGGTGGACATGGTGGAAACCTTCCTCTGTGTGGCAGAAAATGTGACTCAGATCTCTGGGAACTTGGGACAGGAAAGTTCCCTGAGGGGCATGTATGGGGAGGCTGCAGAAAGTGTCCCCCCATTTCATGTTTGTGATGGCAGCTCAGGATAGACAGACACCAAGAGGGTGGCCTTGGGCAGCAGCCAGTGAGGAGAGGCAGGATGGGGTTAAGCTTCGCACATCGAGGGCCGGGCGCGGTGGCTCACACCTGTAATCCCAGTACTTTGGGAGGTCGAGGCGGCGGATCACTTGAGGCCAGGATTTCGAGACCGGCCTGGCCAACATGGTGAAACCCTGTCTTTACTAAAAGTACAAAAATTAGCCAGGCGTGGTGGTGGGTGCCTGTAATCCCAGCTGCTCGGGAGGCTGACAGAACCACTTGAATCCGGAAGGCGGAGCTTGCAATGAGCCAAGATCGCGTCACCGCACTCCAGCCTGGACTACAGAGTGAGACTTCGTCTCAAAAAAAAAAAAAAAAAAAGTGTTGGTGCAGGCAGCCTTGGGGGTTCCTTTCAGATAGGACAGGTGGGCGCTGTCTCCCCCAGGGCAGCCTCTGTCTGAGGACAGTCACAGGGGGTGGGGGAGCGGGTGAAGGGGTTAGTGACAAGGCTCATCCTGGCCCTGCCATAAATCTGCGGCGTAACTTCCAGCAGGGGGTTTCTGGCCTTCATTTTCCCCATCTGGAAAACAAGGGCGTGGGGCAGGGGAGCCTCGAGATCCCATAAACGCTCACCATCTGGAGGCCTGGCCTGTTCTAGGTGGACGAGTCCCGGCCTGCACTCCACTACAGAGGCAAGGGCGAGGTGTCTGACTCCAGCGGGGGCCGGGGGGTGGTGCAGCCAGTCCCAGGAGGGCTCACAGGCCACCCTGCAGCCTGGCTTGTGGGGAGGAGGAGAGGATACCCAGACACCGAACATCTTCGCATCTGCAGGTGACCGGTTAAGGTGATTCGCTGCAGCTCAGGTCAGGAGATGCCCTAAAGGTGTTCTGATACCAGTTGGCCAGCCTGCCCTGCTGGTCCCGTGCTAGAGACTCTCTTTTGAAATGGCCTTTCCTGCCTTGGATAGACTGACATAAAGGCTGGACAGCGAGCTCATTTCTTCCTCCTCCTTGATTCCCCCTCCCCGTGCTTGAAACGTCTCCCCAGTTCCCCACATCTGCGTGGCTCAGGACATGCTCGCTGCAAAGCACAAGACGGCTGGGCACAAAAGGGAGTTTTATTGGGAGGATCCTGGGGGGTCTCCTTGAGCCCAAGGTCATGGGTCCAGCCAGGCTTGGGAAGGACCTGGCCATCTCACTGAGAGCTGGACGGGGCAGGCCCTCCTCCCTCCTGGCTCTGCACATGTCCAGGTCTTGGTATCTTGCTCTCTTGCTGCTGCTTGACCTCTGTGGTCAGCCAGTGTGAGATCTGCTCCAGGCCCCATCTGTCAGTCCCCAACCCCCTTTCCGACCCTGTCTGCTCAGCACTGTGAAGACCCTCGCCTGAAGCCCTGTCCACAGGCAGAGCGTGGACATTCAGCCCAGCTCCACCTGCCCAGGTTCTCTGCGCTGCCACGTGTGCACACCACGGAGGCGACACGAACTCTGGGCAGCTCTGTCCCACTGTGGAAGTATTGCGCCACTCAGAAACCCTGAATTCTTGGTTTGTCTGCTGCTGCTAAGCCACGTCTCCCTCTACCCTGGCGTGTGTCATTTCTTGTTAGACCCAAGTACAGCCCCTTATGTTTAATCCCAGTTCATCCTTGTGGATCCACATTTTCATCCTAGAATCCATTTTCGCCATTCCCAATCACTTTCTATCATGAGAAGGTCTGGCAGGCAAGCCTTTTGTGTCTTTATACCAGCTACTGCTCTGACTTGAATGGAAAGGGCTGGCTGGGAAGGACGAAGCCCAGCATCCCTCTGGCTGACACTACTGTCACCCTTGGTCCCTGTGGGGTGATTTCAACCAGCTCCTCACTGGCTGTCCTGGAACTCAGCCCACATACTCCACCACCTTGTCCTCAGGGATATTGCAAGATACTTTTCCTGGGGGAACCTGAGGAAGTTCTGTTTAGTTCACACATATTTTCTGTCCGAGGTTCTGCACCTAGGCTGGGGGGCCAGACATACTGCCTGGTGTGCGTGGTCTTACAGGAGCACCTGGACAGACCGATGCACGTGCTGAATCTTGGTGGGTTGGGGGAGCAGGAGTGAAGCGGGGGGCAGCCAGTGAAAGGCCTTACAGAGAGATCTGAACAGGGCTTGAAGGAACAAGGGGAGTCTGCCAGGCAGACAGCGTAGGAGTGGCAGGGAAGGAGAGTGAGTCTGTGTGCAAGGCAGATCCGGCTGGGGTGGGACGTGTACCGTTCTACACTCAGGCGTATTTCCTCCATTTCCTCTCTGTCCTGATTTGTAGGTCATCACTGAAGCCAACTCGAGCTGGCTTTGGCTCAAGCAAAATGCTTCCAGTTAATTGCCATGTATTGAAGTGTCCTGGATGGCTCCAGGCACACCTGCGGCTCAGTGGACACAATGGGAAGGGCTCTGGGGACGTTACCGGGAGAAGCGAGGTCCCTCCTGCAACCCTCTGCCCTCCACAGGATGCTCGGTGTTTGTCTCAACAGATTTGAGAGAGGGGGACAGACCAACTCAACAGTTGAGCTTTTGTCCTTTGTACTGTCACTAATCCAAACAGCCACGACCAAGGGCCACTACACACACCCTTGGAGCTGCGCTCACTCTGTGGATTGGCCGTGTTTAGCAACAGGACTCCAGCGTTGAAGTGGGAGGTGGCAGACGGGGTCAGGAAGGGCTCCAGAACAGAGCCTGAAGGGTGCTGGGGAGGGCCCCAGGGGCGGTGCCCCGTACTGAGGCGGGTCTCCACATACTGACACCCCTCTTCCCCGCAGAACCGGCCCTCCGTGATCACCTGTGCCTCGGCTGGCGCCCGCAACTGCAACCTCTCGCACTGCCCCATCGCGCACAGCGGCTGTGCCGCGCCCGGGCCTGCCAGCTACCGGAGGCCACCAAGCGGTGAGTGTCCCGGGCCTCCTCACCTGTCACAGCTGTGCTAGTAGCAGCAGAACCCTTCTCTGTCATGCTGTTGGCTGAAACCCCTCGCCCCTGAGCCCATCTATTGCTGAGGTTGAAAAAGTATTTTTTGAGCACGTCCAGTGTGCACCTAGCGTTGTGTGTGGCTTGGGTGGGAAGGGCATGAGAAACACGCTGCCCCCCTCAATTCCAGGATCTCATGCCCTAGTTCAGGGAGGGCAGCAGCTACTGTTAAATTTAATGCCATGTTCTCTTTCTGAACTTGGACTCTGGCCCAGTGCAGTCGGTACATCACCATTTTACAGAGAAGTGACCTGCCCAAGTGCCTGACTTAGCCGGGGGAGGTGGGTTCTGTTTGCAGAGCCCACACTGACTGTGGCAGCCAGTCCAGCTCTGGGCTGCCCGAGGGAGGGTGCTGCACCCGTGCCTGTCTGCAACCACCTGTGTCTGACTGCCTTCCTGCTTGCCTGCAGCCGCCACCACCTGTGACCCCGTGGTGGAGGAGCATTTCCGTAGGAGCCTGGGCAAGAATTACAAGGAGCCCGAGCCGGCACCCAACTCTGTGTCCATCACAGGCTCCGTGGACGACCACTTTGCCAAAGCTCTGGGTGACACGTGGCTCCAGATCAAAGCGGCCAAGGACGGAGCGTCCAGCAGCCCTGAGTCCGCCTCTCGCAGAGGCCAGTCCGCCAGCCCCTCTGCCCACATGGTCAGCCACAGTCACTCCCCGTCTGTGGTCTCCTGAAGGGAGCGCCTCCTCCAACAACACGTGGATCTGCATGGTTTGCCTGAGCTTTGAACAGTCAGTACTTTAAAAAAAAAAAAAAAAAAAAATCATGGGGGTGGGGTTGGGGGAAGGGAAGGGATGGTTTATTCGCAAAAACCATGATGTTGGGATTTTTGTTCTGTTTTTGTACTTGCTTGGTATCCGTACAAGGGGGCCCTCAAACATGATAGCAGGAACTACGTGTGGAACATCTGTCTAATGTAGCATCCTTACTTCCTGCCTCAGTTACCAAAGAAACCTCTGATGCAGGTCTGCCGCCCCGACGGGGCCAGGACTCCACAGCGCTTTCTCAGTCACAAGCCATGATGAATTGGTGACTCAGATGCTTTGTGCTTTTTCCTTTGCTTCTTGAGACCGGGGTGTGTGTGGCTCAGCTTCCACGGCGTGTTTGGTTCGGTCCGTGTGTGTGCGTGTGTATACTTGAAGAGAACTGTCGTGTCTGATTTGCACTATTGGAGGAGGACTAAAGTTGCCTGACAACTTTATGTGTGATGCCAGAACTCTGAGGGCAAACTGCTGAAAAACAAAGGGTTTAAGGATGACATTTCTGACCATTTGTGTGTTTGTTGTTGTTACTGTTTTTGTTTTTTTTTTAATCTAGACAATACAGCTTTGGAAGGGGAAGTCTCATACAGGTTATAGGTCTTTCTCTCTCTAGATTTCAGGTGCTTGCAACTGGACTGCAGACTCTACCAATCACGGGCATTTTACCTTCTCTGAACACTGCAGTTTGTTAGACTAGAGCTGAGGTTGGAGGATTCCATAGTGCTTTAAACGTGATGCATGTTTTAATGGAGAAAAAATAGCTGGTTTCTATTAATTATATAGACAGTAAACAAAAACCTTAATACTTACTATCTTCTTTTCAGAATTAGTTTATTTTTGTCAGTTACAGTCCTAGATATACTTACTGCTGGTACAGTTGTACTCTAAGATTTGTATTTGATACTCACTTTACTCACAAGCAGTGCGGGAGGCCAGCTCCTGGCAGGCCCTCGTGATGAGCAGTGGGTCAGCTGCGGTGTGGGATGCTGGAGTTTTGCTGCCGGCTGACAGCATTTTTGCATCCCCGTCTGCTTTGTTACAAGCTCCCAGGGGAGGTGGGGTTTGCGTCTTCCAGCTTCCCTACATGCAGAAACTGCTCCCTTTGAACTCTCTTGGCTGAACAGCAGATTACTGACAATCTGTGATACGGTGTTTTATACGCTTCCTCGTACGCTGGGGCCAAGGCAGTATACATTCCTCTGACTTTATACTGTTATTACTGCATTTTATTATTTGCTATATTAATAGCTACTAACTAGAAATTAGATGAAGCAAGCATGACAGACACAGCTGTGGAGGTCACAGCTGCTCCTTTTTAGTCAATGAGCGTTTCTGTCCCCTCCGCCTGGGGTGTGCTGTGTTCCGCCCGGCCCAGCAGAGGCTCACGACGATGGCACCTGACCGGGTGACATGGGTGTGGTCACCTCACCTGCAAGGCTTTGTGGACTCTGCACACTGCACGACCTCTGGTTTTACAGTTTGGCTGTTGAATTTTGGAAATTGGCACTGGGTGAAAAGGTCGGAGGACTGGCTCTTGTAGTCACAGGGTGGCTGCAGGCCTTTGAAAAGTGGAGGAAAGAAAAGCCCTTCTCCTTGCCCCGCACACATTTCACTCCCACTCTACTGGGCTTCCAAGCTTTGGCATTCAGGCCCCTATATTTTCTGTAGGAAAAATCGTTGAGAACACTTTTTTTATATAGGTAATTTTAAGACCATCATTACGCTGTGCGTAAAGAATGTACAGAGAAATTTGTAGGTATTTTTGGAAGAACATTAATTTGTTAATGATATGTAGCTATTTAATTTTTCCCTTTCCTATTGTAATCATTCATTTTTTGTTGTTGTTTGGGAAAAAAAAAAGTTGATCTTTTTTTTTGTCGTAGATTTGTCTGTAAAAGTGCAGGAACACAGTTATTCTATGAGAACACTGCATCTGCATCATAGCCACTAGTTTGTTATTGCTACAGGCTACTGAGCGTCGTAACAGGAAAACAACCCACTGCTGACCGGCTCGGTGGAGGACACTCCTGGGACAGGTCTCTCTGTCAGTGAACAAGGGCGTCACTCTGGGAGGGTCGGCGGTGCTGGTGGCCGGTCCCCTGGTGCACTGACCTATCTGGGATAGGCAGTACCCTGGAGGGGGCCTTGGGCAGAGGGGGCAGCAGAAAACCAAACATTTCACTGAGAAAGAGCCCCCTTCCCCGCTCTAAGAAGGGCTCCGTGAAGTTCTTGCCAGAGCCATGCCGCCTGCAGTGCGCTCTGAGCGTCTCTCCGTGTGTAAATCTGTAATATACCATTCTCTGTGGCCTGTTTTTCCTGGAAGAAGAAAAAAAGGTTTGGCAGGCCATCTTTTTTTTGTACTTAAAAGTAGCCTTAAGAACAATAATAAAGTGCTCTTAAACCACATAGTGTACGTGTGGCTCTTCAGCCCCCGAGTGAGTTTCAGCGCCAGGCTGGGTGGGCGGACTCGGGCCCTGCACCTGTGCCGGCTGTGTCCCCATGAAGCTCCCATGAGCTGAACGACAGCCGCCGGAACTTGGACTGGCTACTTTGGGAGACGCCTCATTTGAAATCTACCCTACTAAATCCTGCTGTTGTTAAGGGTCAGCCCAGACTCAATTTTCACTTTGCTTTTGGGCCTAAGACGAAAGCTGAAAGAATAAAATAGCAGGAAGAGTGCCTCTGGTTCCTACAGCATTCCAGGGATGATGCCTTCTACACGGGGCAGGGTGGTCAGAGGTACCCAGGCCATGGCCTCTCCTGGGTTTCCAACCCCTGCTCTTGGGGCCTCACAGCTGCACACACCCAGAAGAAAGAGGAACACCAGCTCTGGCCTGAGTTACAACTGTCTGACCCCTCCCCTCAGCTGGGCCAGGAAGGCAGCCCAGGCTTCGCCTTTCTGGGCCTGGCATGCTCATAAAGGCAGGGAGGACTCCACCTCACCAGGCAGCTGCCAGGATCTGCCCCGGGCTCTTCCCCCAGCTCAAGGCAGCAACAGAAACTCCTTTCCCTCAAGCAGGCAGGCAGGCAGGCACAGATACTATGCCCACAGCGGAGGACAGGCCGGGAGGCAGGAATGCCATGTCTGGGTGGCACACTCTGTCAGTGGTGGAAATCGGGGGTCAGTGGATCATGTGGGCCCTTTAGTCTCGCACCCAGCTTGGCTCTCCTCCTCCCGCTCCACCAGGGCCAGGCTGCAGTGTGCTCACAGGGCCCCACCCTCAGCCATGCCCAGGGCCCTCACAGGAGAAGCCTGCAGTGGGGCTGGCAGGGCATCCTGGGGATGAGGGTACCACCTCCCGCAGTGGCTCTGGACAGGAGCTGGTTGCTCACCTCCCCATTTGGTCTGTGTTGGGCCACCCCCTGAGGGCCAAGGGGAAAGGATCCTGAGGGACGGCTATCAGACACTGTCACAAGAAATAAAAACTGCACAGAGGACCAAGTCCCAGGTCGATAACAAGGCCGAAGCCAAGGTTATTATTCAGCTCTGAACTGGTGGCATCGTGAATCCCGAGTAACGTTGAACATGGCCGCTCCTGGGCAGCGGAGGGGGTCCCAGTCCTCAGGGTATGGAGAGGAGGGGACCAGAATCACCAAGCCTGGGGTCAGCAGTCCTGCTCTGGTGATGGAGAGCTCCTCAGCAGGCGGCCGGGGAGAAGTCAGCCTCACAGCGGGGCCATCTCAGATGGTCTCATCGTCGCTCATGTCCCAGATCTGCGTGGAGAAGGGGAGAGGCTCAGCCAAGATGTCCCACTGCCTGGTGGTAGGCACACAGATGCTTTAAAACCGCAGTGGTCATGGCAGCTCCCACCTGCAGAACCACTCCCTTGTCTCTGAGGGACTGCCACCCCATTTCTGTACAAGGACACCAAATCTCAGACTTGCCAAGGCGTCACTAGTGCGTGAACCACCTGGTGGAACCAACAGTGGAGGGCTGGGATTTGCACTGGGGATGTCCTGTGCTCACCTCCTGCACATCCACCTCGGGGGCCTGTCCCTGACCCAGCCAGCCTCTGCTCATCCTGGCTTCTGCAGCACTCAACCCTACCCCAAGCCAGCTTGTTCTCCTTGCGGTCCACCTGCCCGCTGGAAGGCAAGCTCCCTGAGGGCAGGGATTCTGGCATGGGCACGTGCTGCCTCGGGAGGCTGCACCCTGGGTGCCTGTTCCACATTCCCTGTAACTGTAGTCCAGCTGCCGACACTCCCAACTCACACTAGAGAGCTGAAGAGCAAGCCCTCCCCACCAGCCAGCGTGGAGGTGGCCTGGAGCAGGACAGTAGAGACAGCCAGATCCTGCCACAGTCCCTCAACGAGTCTGAGCCTCGCAGTGAACCTGGGGAGCGGGAGGCCCCAGTGTGGCTGTGTGGAGAACTGAGGGACCCAGCAAGAGACACCCTGCCCGCATGCACCCAGGCCCATTCATTCCCTGCAGTCCTTGGCGTGAACCCCCAGGGAGAGAGCCCAAGGCCAGCACAGCAGGTCTCAGGGTCCCTGGCACCCTGGAGGGCCAGTCCCTGAAGCTACGCCTTCAGACTTTCAAAATTCCTAGAACTGGTTACAAAAGGCCACCTCAGTGCTAGCAGAGCTGAGAGAAGGAACAGCATGTTTACACGAGGCTGGCCCGGGGAGACGGGAGGCCTGGCCAAGGTAAATATCAACACCAGCTTGGCTTTCAAAGTCAAGGACGTCGAAAATAAATAGAAGGAAATTTCTCTCTCCTGAGGACCCAGCTCCCAGGCTGAGGGGAGGCAGCCCTCTCACTTCCCCCGTCTCCCCTGAGGCCAAACTATCTGAGCTCTCGGGAGGGGATGGCCAAGCGAGGTGTAGATGCCGGCCCAGCCAGGCTGTGGATGGGCCCGTCTGGAGTCCAGTGACCAAATGTCCCTTTCTCTGGGTCAGGTCCCCACCGAGCTCATCCTCAGTGCGGCTGAAAACTCCCCTAGGGTGGGACTGAGCAGTGCAGGGCAGGGGGGCTGTGTTTCTAACAAAGGTTGCATTTAGGAGCCCCTGGATCTGATCTCTGGGTTCTGATAGTCTGAGTGGAAGAACAGCCTCTGGAGGGTTTGCCGGCGCAATCCATCTGTTCTTTCACTCTCCTATTCAGTGAACACACATTCCTGGAGCCCGCTCTGTGCCACGCACTGTGTAGACCTGCTGCAAATACTCCCCCTTTCACTCCTCACATCTATCTGTGAGGTGAAGATGGAAACAAGCCCGGAGAGGTAAGGCAATTGGCCTGAGATCACACTACAAGCAAACTTCAGTGCTGGGAACAGGGGTGTATGGAAAAGGGCTGGGCGGGCTGCCTGGAGGAGGACGCCAAGGTGGGGGGTAATGAGGCAAGATGGAGAATGAAAAGGGTGAGCCTTGTGGGCCGTGTCCTCCGGGACCTCCTGCCCAGCCTCCTTGGAGGGCTGCCAGCCTGGGCAGGGCAGGGTCAGTGCCAAACAGCAGTGCCCTCTGCAAACGGGTGGTTGGGGTTGTTCTGTTCCTGAGGACTCGGGACGGGGCTGGGGCTGGGACTAGGCTTTATAGGAAAGCAGAAACTTTCAGGGAGGTGTTACCCATTTTGTCATCCATGTTACCAGGTTTTTAGCTATGGGGAAGAGGCATAGGTGCTCAGCCACACCAGGACTGGGTGGCCTGGGACTGGCCCTGGAAGGCGCCTGGCTGACCCCTTGCTCCCGGACAGATTCAGCGCTTGAGGGGCCGCAGCTGCTGGCAGTGCCCGAGCTGTGCAGGGGATCCCGCGAGACACCTGGAAGGCTTATTGTGACACGGTTCTACTGAGGCGGGGGGCAGGGAGCAATGCATTTTACATAACCACTCGGGGATTTTCCAGAGCGAATCTCGGGGGCAGGGACGGGCTCTCTGCTGGCCTTGTCCCATTGGCTGGGCTCAGAGGGCAGCAGCCATCTTCATTGGAAACCTCAAGAAACAACTAGAACACAGACTTGTGGGGATGGGATGGGATGGGGACTGGAGGGGAACTGGAGTGGAACTGGGGGCTGGGATCTGCAGACTCCCCACTGTGTCCTCACCACAGCTGTGTCCTCGGCAGGGCACCTGGTGTGGAGAAGGGCACGGTGAATGTCCTCTTAATGAAGATCATAGGAAACTGTCAGGTTTTTAAAAATATCAATACTGAGTGCTGACAAGGGTATGGCAAAACACTGCCACAAAAGAAGTATAAATTGGTACCATATTTTTAAAAAGATTTGGCAATATGTAATACAAACCTTTAAAAAACGTTCAACCCTAAGGAAAAGACAAATGATTTTTTTGTGTTTAATATCAAAGTACACCTGGAAACCCCAATAAAATACATGCTAAGATACCCTTAGAATACAAATGAAAAAGTATTTGGTAAGAACAAGATATAAAATTGACAACAACCAATTATAACCCCCCACATGCAGTGCAAACAATGTTTAGTTCAAAACAGAATGAAAGAGGCTGGGCGTGGTGGCTCACACCTGTAATCTCAGCACTTTGGGAGGCCAGGGCGGGTGGATCACTCGAGGTCAGGAGTTCAAGACCAGCCTGGCCAACATGGTGAAACCTCATCTCTACTAAAAATACAAAAAGTAGCCAGGCGTGGTGGCGGGCACCTGTAATCCCAGCTACTCGGGAGGCTGAGGCAGGAGAATGGCTTGAACCCGGGAGGTGGAGGTTGCAGTGAGCTTGAGATTGCGCCACTGCACTCCAGCCTGGACAACAGAGTAAGACTCTGTCAAAAGAAAAAAAAAAAAAAAAGGAAAGAGAAAGGAAGAAAGGCACCCATTATATTGTCCAGGCACAGTGGTTCGCGCCTGTAATCCCAGCACTTTGGGAGGCTGAGGTGAGTGGACTGCTTGAGGCCAGGAGTTTGAGACCAGTCTGGACAATAGAGCAAGACTCAGTCTATAAAATTTTTTTTAAAAAGTATAAAAGCAATGAAAAAGATAAACACATGGGAATAAACCTAACATCAGATGTAAAAAATCCATATGAAACCTCTGAAACAGCTGCGACAGTCCTAGAAGAGTATCACCTGGGAAAGATGTAAACTGGAGTAGATAGAGCCACATCCCTTGTTTCTGCATAGGACGATTTAACATCCATAAAGATGTCAGCTTTCTCAAAGTGAATACATTAACAAAGTCTCAATTTTCAAAGATAAACAAATGTTTTCTGGAGCCAGCCGAGCTGGTTCTAGGCTATGTGGAAAAACAGGAAGCAGAGACACCCAGGAAACCCTCTGAACAGAAAAGCGGTGAGAAGCCCCTACCATGGGCCGAGGGAGACGTCATGAAACCCCCGAGGAGGAGAGGGTGTGTCTGCAGGGGAACACTCAGATGGCCAGCAGGACACGAAGAGTACAGAAACGAGAGAAGACCATGTCCAAGAACATGTGGAAATCAAGAATTTTAATGATAATGGCCTGGGGAGTGCCATCTCAGCTCATTAGGAAAAGATAGACTTTTTAAATAAATGATATGAAGAGAAGTAGAGAGTCACTTGGAAAAAGATAAAATTGATTCCATGCCTTACCCCACACGTTAGAATCAACTCCAAATGGGATAAAGATCCAAATGTTAGAGAAAATGAAACCATAATACTAGATACAAAAGTGGGTGAGCTCATTATAGCCTGGGAGTAGGGAAGGCCTATGATCCCAAATCCATAAGCAATAAAAAATGGATACACTTGACTCTGCAAAAACACATGCATGCAATATGCACGGGAAAACAGTCAAAAAGACAAACTGAGAAAACATCACAACATACCATAAACGGCTCATCTCAGTAATACACAAAGAGCTCTTAGAAATCAAGAAGAGAGGCCAGGCATGCCTGTAATCCCAGCACTTTGGAAGGCCGAGGCGGGAGGATCACTTCAGCCCAGGAGTTAAAGACCAGCCTGTGCAACATAAGGAGACCCTTTCTCTACAATAATGTTTTAAAATTAGCCAGGTAGGTGTCTGTAGTTCCAGCAACTCAGGAGATGGGAGGATGATGTGAGTTCGGAAGGTAGAGGTTGCAGTGAGCTGTGAATGCACCACTGCACTCCAGCCTGGGCAACAGAGAGTGAGACCCTGTCTCAAATAAATAAATATCAAGAGGAGAAAGACCAATAGACCAAATTTTTAAAAAGTGGCTAAAGACATGGCCAGTTCTCAGAAAAAATAAGCAATGGCCCTTAGACAGAAAAAAAGATGCACAGCCTTACTCATAATAAAGGAAATGCAAAGGTTTCCTTAAGACACAAAAAGAACCAGAAAAAAAAAATGGGTTTGCATTTCACAAGAATTAAAATTCCTGGTCTTGGAAGGATACCACTGAGAAAATGAAAAGTTGTAGATTAGAAGAAAATATCTCTATATTAAAAGAACTTGTATTGAGAAAATAAAGAACTCTTACAACTTAATAAAGAGACAAAAACTTGATTTTTGGGGAGAAGATTGGAAGAGAAACTTCACCAAAGAGGAAATATAATGGCAAGTAAGAAAAGACGCTCAGCTTGCAGTCCTCAGAGAAATGCAAATCAAAACCACAAAGAGACAGCACACCCCACCTCAGAAAGCTGAAGCTAAAGGCCAGCGCCACCCGGTGTCTGTGAGGATGTGGGGCAGGAAGGGCCCACACACTGCTCCTAGTGGGGGTGGAAAGTGGCAAAACCACTTCGGAGAAAGGTCTAGTGACTAAGTATGCGCTCACCATGTGATCCAGCCA